CACAGACCAGGTGGCTTAAACAACAGACATCGATTTTCTCACAGTTCTGGAAGCTGGAAGTCCAAGATCAAGATGTTGGCAGGTTTGGTTTCTCCTAAGGTTTCTCTCTTTGGCTTGCAGATGGCTACTTCCCCTGTGTGTCCTCACATGGCCTCTCCTCTGTGCACATGCACCCCTACCATCTCTTCTTGTAATTGGGACACCAATCCTATTGAATTTAGGATCTACCCGTATGATGACCTCATTTGAGCCTATTTACCTTTTAAAGAACTTGTCTCAACATATGAATTTTTGAGGGACCACATATAAAGGACATTTTCATTATTTTAAGTAACCTCTCATAATGGCATTTTACACTGTGAGGGATCTCTCTAGGTTCAAATTCCCTTATTCTTTAATGTTGACAGCTCTTATCATTGAAGATTTTCTTCCTTTGCTCAATATACTCCCGAGTTCCTTTGGCTTTTTCTGACCACCTGTTACTTGCCTGAGAGATTTCATCCCCATTCATGACATCAGTCACCACCTCTGGAGATAATGACTCTCACATCACACACCCAGTCCCCTGATTCCAAGGTTACATATCCAACAGCAAGCGTCCACGGTATTCGTGGTTCTTGTACCAGTAGCTGCAACATCATCTGAGCGCTTCACTGAAATGCAGGATCTTGGGCTCTACCCCAGGACTATTGGATCTGCATTTTGACAAGATCCCCAGATGATGTTACACATAGTAGGTCTGAAAGTAGCATTCTAAATGATTTCTCTTTCTGTATGTTCCAAAGAAATCGCAAACTGAACAGAGTGTAGACTTAATTATTAATTAATTTTAACTCATTCATTAATTTAATTACTAATTATTGAACTTACTATATGCCTTCACAGCTTTGAGATCTATATTGGTGAGTAAAATCAAAAAAAAAAAAAAAAAAAAAAAAGGAAAAGCCCCGCCTGCCTGAATCTTTTCTTCTAGCATGGGAGACAGATAAGAAACAATAAAACAAAATAAGTAAGTACATGACGTGCTAGAATAGACAGTGATATGTGCCACGGAAAGATGAAAATATTGAGCAGGAGAAGAGCAATCCTAAATGCAGTGTGGGACATTGAAAGAGTTGTATTTCCCTTCCTTTATTTCTTGTCTCAGTGAATAGCACTGAGATAATCATCCCCTCGGTCACCTTCGGGGGGGGGTGAGAAAGACAATTAGGAGTTATATTAAAACTTTTACTTTTACTGTCAATTCTAGATTCCTAATGTCTTTCAAATCTAACGCTTTTCATGATGCTCACTGACAGGTGTTTTTTTCTCATCCTCATATTTCCTCCCCCTGAGTCTTGGTTATAGCCCGCTAAGTGACCTCATTGACTTTCTACCTATTTCCACAATACTGTCAGGAGGCCATCACTTGCTTGCTAGAAAACTTTTAATGGCTCCCACTGCCTTCTGAAGAAAACTGAAACAGTTTTTTGATGATCAATAAGGCTGATTACAAACTGGCCTCTTCCTACCTTTTAACTATAATTCCCATAAGCCCACTCCCCACTTGCTAAACTGCATATGAGTCTCTGAATATACAATATTCTCTTTCCTCTTTACGTTTGCATATTGTTTTTTGTTTGTTGTTGTTTGCTTTTTTTTTTTTGCATGAAACTCTGAAGTAGTATCTTGTTTGTACCTATTTCCTGATTCCTTCTCTGTCCTCAAATGTGGCACTATTAACACTATGTTATTATTGTAGATTTTCACCGGAAAGTGCATTCTTAGAAGATAGGGACTGTCTTATTTAGCTCTAGTGCCAACACAGAGCTTGGTACTCAGTAGTGTTCAGTAGTTTGTGACAAGTAACTGGTTAATGCTGCTTTATAAAGTGAGTGGAAATCTTCTAGGATATGATGCTTTCAGAGGGAACTCATGCAAAGGCATGAAGGTATGTTTGGGGAACAGTAAGTCTCTCACTTTTGTGGAAGCCTGAAGTTTGGTTTGCGTTGCTGCTGAAATGGAGGTGAGAGAGGGTGCCTTATATGCCTTTCCAAGAAATTTAGATTTTTTGCTGTAGAGAAGAGAGAGCCATTGATGGCTTTAAGCAAATGAGTGACATAGTCTGGGGAGATCAGATTTGAATTTTAAGAGGTGGATTTCTTGGAGGATGAGAGGTGATTGTTAAGGAAGAGATTAGAGTGCAGTAATTCCAGAGAGATGATAAGGGCTTCACCGAAGGCAATGAGAGTAGCATTGGGAAAGAGGACTCGGCAAGAAAGATGTAAAGCTTTTCCCAGTATGATCTACTGGCTGTGAAGGCACCATTCACTGAGATTGGAGGAAGAGGTTTGGGGTCCATAAGAAGTATCAATTCAGTTTTATCTCATCAATTTGGAGATCTCAACATTCCAGTCATTTGTGCCAGGCCTCTTCATTTCTAGAAGACTCTTTGATTCCGAACAGGTGATCATTTATAGTAAACAGAATTCAGGACAGGAGTCACACATCTTTCCATTTATTAAAGCCCACACCTCTAGGAAAGAATCAGTTGGGTTCATCCATTATGTTTTAGTAGCTGCAACATCAGAATTGGTATTTGTTCATGCATTCCAGTTAGTAGGAATATGGCCCTCATGGGGTGGGAAGGAGGACTTATTTTCTAGTAGAGGAAACCGACTTAAAGTATAAATAAGGTGCCCCTATCGATTAAGCCATCTGACTCTTGATTTTGGCTCAGGTCGTGATCTCAGGGGCTTAAGATCAAGCCCGGTGTTGGGCCCTGTGCTGGGCATGGAGCCTGTTTAAGAGTCTTTCCCTCTCCTTCTGCCCCTCCCCCTAAAAAAAAAAGTATAAATAAGTATAAATGAGTGGTTACTATGCTCGTGAGAAAATACAGCATACTTTATTGGGGGAATTGAGTATAAGTTAGAAGTCAGATTTATACTTCCTGCAGTCATGTTGTTATTACATGTCTGATCAAGCTTTGCTAAAAATTTGGTTAAATACTCACCAAACATTTGCTGTGGGAACTTCTGATCTCTCTGATTTCAGATGTTACATATTTGAAAATGACATTTATCCTTCCTGTAGATTGGTAGTTACTTATAACTCCAGCCATTTCCACAAAAGAGTTCTTTGGAAACCACTAAGAGAGAGAATTCTAAAATTAATACATTTGAGCATCAGTGCTGTCAAAATCAGATTTAATTTTTAAAAATTTGCTCATTTCAGCTATAATTTAGAGCCACCCCTCCTCTTTGATCTCATTTTTAAAGAAGTTATTTTTAAAATATCAGTGGAGGATGCAATTTTATAATTGCTGCATTTTAACTACTCAACCTATGGATTTCTGGTTTGCTTTCTTTCTCCTGTCCCTGTATTCTAGTCCAGAGGACATCTCTTCTGTATTAAGTTAGTGGCTTTTCATTTCATTGTCCAAAACATTAGTTTATGTTTAAAAAGTTCAGAAGTATAGTTTTTAGGACTTGGTTTTCTGAAATGCTAAAATTCAGGTTCTTGGGACCTCAAAGCTTTGATTTTCAACTTGAAAGTTTTGGCTTTTTAAGTTAAAAAGCAAACTACTTTTTTGTTGAATTTTCCCTTCTGATAATTAATGGGGGAAAGAGATGTAGTATGAGGGGGGGGGGGAAAGTCAATGTATTAAATAATACTCCTTCCAACAACTTTTATTTTCATGCTTTTGAAACATGTTATGTATTTGGGTTTTTTTGTATTTAGTGAATGATATAGGAGAAACGTTAGGGTTTAAGGCTGATGGCCAAGAAAGAATTATTGAAATGTCTTTGGTGCAAAAAGATGGTTTTATTAAAGCATGGGAACAGGACCCATGGGCAGAAAATGCTGCATGGGGGTCATGAGAAGTGGCTCATTATGTACTTTCAAGTTGGGAGGGAGCCAGGGATAGCATGTAAGTCTCCCAGGTATTTTGGAAGCAAGGTTTCCAGGACCTTGAGGGGGCTTAGCTATTGTTGGGAAAGTGCCATTTATTAACTGTCTAATAAAATCTGAGTCATGAGACCCTTCAGATGTATATCATATGCTTGGGGGATGATTGCCAACATGTATCTTGGGGGGTAGAGATACAGGAAATTTCCAAAGGAATTTTTATATGTTAAAGTAGACTTACAGGATCCTGGGGGTCAGGCTAAGATAAGCCTGTTGCCCTTAGCAAAGTATTAACATGGAGGCAATTGAGTCCCTAGAGGAATGTCACTCTGCCTGTTTCAAGGACTTGTCAATGGGCTATAAGTAGTAAGGAAATTTAATAACTTTTCTTCTGCCTGTTTCCCACATCAGTGAAGACATACTATTTTATGTGGTTAAGCACCAAAGAGAAGACCCAAATAGGAAAACCACCCAAGTTTAATAAACTTTTAATCAGTAAGCAATTGATTAGCTTGTTGATCAATTTCTGACATTTCTGTACGGAAAAGTAAGTAGTTAGTACCACTGTGATTTAGATGGCACATCCAGTAAAGGCTTGTAGGGATACTTAGATAAAACGGGGTGTGTGTATGTGTACTCTTCACAACTTCTTGGGCTTGACTTATATAAAATTCATACCCTGTGAAAACTTGGATTCAAAAGAGTAAATTTGAATACTAGCATTCTTTTTTAAAAAAGTATAGTATTTATCTTGATTGTTAGAGAAGTATTGAGAATATATAAAAAATAAGCAGTAAAGGGCGCCTGGGTGGCTCAGTCGGTTAAGCGACTGCCTTCGGCTCAGGTCATGATCCTGGAGTCCCTGGATCGAGTCCCGCATTGGGCTCCCTGCTCGGCAGGGAGTCTGCTTCGTCCTCTGACCCTCCTCCCTCTCCTGCTCTTTGTCTCTCATTCTCTCTCTCAAATAAATAAATAAAATCTTTAAAAAAAAATAAGCAGTAAAAATAAAAAAAGATGCATTCTATATATCATGCATAACAAATTATGCCATTTTATATCGGCATTTATTATTGATTTTTGGTTTTAATTGTTTTCTTTGTTTTCCCATTCAGAGAATTTATCAACAGTCTTCGACTGTACAGGACGTTCTATGGGGGCCTGGCTGATGAGCTTTGTGCTAATGAATTAGCTGCTGCTGATGGACTGCCGTGCTGGAATGGGGAAGATATAGTAAAAAGGTATTTTATGTGTAGTGGTCTGTGAAAATATCATGGCTCCTTTCATCCTTGCTTTCTTTTCCTAGGTCCCGAATGGACCACTTCACTTTTAACTTTGCCCCACAGGTTAGAGTTTACAGCAGTTTCGTCTCTTTAGTTTGTTAGAAATAGATTTGGTCCTCTCTGACATTTTAGAAATGTGATAGTAATTCTGTGGTGTTTGAACATTCTCTCTTCCTTTCTACCTATCTCAGATCTACCAACAATCCACTTTTTTGATAAGTATTATTTACCTTCTGTCCAATCTGTCTTGTTTATCAAGTATCTTACTTTCTTCATTTAGCTTTATGAGTTTTAGAAAGTGAAGAAATTCAGTGAAATGTGAATACCTGTGCAAAGATTCATGGAGATATGAATATGAGTTTCAGCAGTGTTAGTATGTCTATCCTACAATTGTCTCTTTGTGTATGTGTGTGTGTGCATGTGTGTGTGCATGTATCTATGTTAGAGTGGGGGTACGTCCCTGTGTGTCTGAAGCATTATTTATTTGTGTGTTGTCAATCATTCTCAAGCTCAGGAGTGAAATTTTTTACCATTTTTTTCCTCATTGTCTAGAATTTCTTTGACATTTTCTTTTCCTTTGCTTCCTGTAACTGATCGTACTCTGAAGTAATCTCCTGATCTTGAGAAAGTCCTAAATTCTCCCTCCGTAATATATAACAGTGGTCAATAATAACTGGTTTGGAATTGCTCTTTTGATTTTCCAGTGCTGGTGATTGTTATAGAATGTAGGCTTGGGTTGCATTTGGACTTGAATGTTTTTGTGTATTTTATTTTGAACAATCTGCAAAAAGAGAGATAGGGTGTTAAGCTTTCGGATTTACAAACATGCCTACTCCACATGAAGTTAGGTGGTTTAGTTACCACAAGAGCGGTAAGTTGATCTAAAATATCATTAACAACAACAACAAAAAGAAGTCATTAGCAAATTAAGCTTACCATGACAAACATATACTCCAATTAAATACATTTAAATAATAAAAACTGTTTATGTATTTCTGTGTGATCATATTTATTATAGTTAAAGCTTATTTCCTGATACAATAAATGATTATTTTGTAGTTTATATCTGAGTATCTCATAGAGATTCTTAGATTTTGCAGAAAAAAATTATTAACTACAGGAACATAATTAAATTTAAATATAATATTTGGCTGACATGGCTGGTGTTCTTTGTTCATTATGTTCTTTGGATATTAGAACATATTTTCTAAATTTACCTTTCTTGCCTTTCTTGAGAGCACTCATAGTATGCCTGGAACTTTGAGTTCTTTTAGTCTTCATGTCACTGAAAATTCCTCCACTTAGATCTATTAATTAAATTATACTTTGACTTTTGCTTTCTCCTCTCACTTTGTTCAAGCTGGAATTGAACTTTCTGTGTATTAACCATTTTTCTACAAGGGCTAATGAGAATCCCATGGTGATTAATGAAAGATTTAGTATATTATATAAAAAGGTGATATATTGCATTACATTATATCATCTCATTCTAGTGCTACAAGAACCTTAGTGTTAGCTTGTCCCACTCCTCTCAGCTGTTTGGTCTGGAGTTTGTATAACAGGAAATGCTGTTGGGGAAATCAGTGATTTGGGAAAACTTTATTTATTTATTTATTTATTTATTTAATTTTTTTTTTAAGATTTTTATTTATTTATTTGACAGAGAGAGAGCACAAGTAGGCAGAGCAGCAGATAGAGGGAGAAGGAGAAGCAGGCTCCCCACTGATCAGGGAGCCCGATGCGGGGCTCGATCCCCGGACGCTGGGATCATGACCTGAGCCGAAGGCAGATGCTTAACGACTGAGCCACCCATGCGACCCTGGGAAAACTTTATTTAGAGGAATCGTATTTTCAACTCAAAGAATATATTTTCTTCTATATCGTGTATTTCTTAAGACCTTATTCATGGTTTAGGAATAAAAAAAAAAAAGCTCATCTTTAGCAAGAATCCTCTGTACAAAGTATCCACATTTCTGATAAAGCAATGAGGGATTCTCATGACTCTCATTTGCTTCCAGCTTATTCTCCCCTTTGCTGTACCACCCAGCCTCCTGTCGGCCACTTCCAAGTGCACTGTTGGACTCCACTCTCCTGAGAACAGCTTACACTTTGCCTTAATCTTCTCTCAGACAACCCTTCTACCTCATCACCTTAACTGTCATTTTCCTATCCTTGAGAATATTTCTTCAGGTCCATCCCAATCTCATGGCTCCACTACCCACTTCCACTCCTCTTGGCTCACCTGCTGGCAGACAAGCCTCACACACTGGCTCTCTAGCGCCATCTCCGGGTGACTTTCAAAATGAACATTTTTCAGCCCTGATTATTTTCTGGCAGTTAGCCAAGGTTTTGCAAGCATTATCTCATTTAATTCTCCCAAAACTTGACTCCCTCATGCTCCAAAGCACGCTGATTGGGCGGTGTCTATTTTCTATTTGATCTTGAGAAAACTCTCTTGTATGCTTGACTTTTCAAAAAAAAACTATATTATTTGAATTGTATTTTTATTTGTGGCTCAGCCAATTCTTGACATAAGCATACAACAGGACATTTTTCCCTTCAGTGCAAAGTCAGTGCTAAAACCTAAATATCCATCACAACTGGTTAATTATGGTGCCTTCACCATGGAATATTATGCGTTTGTCAAAAACTGTGCATATTTTTATCTGCTAATGTGGAATAATTTCAAATAATTATTAAATTAAAAATAGTTAAAGCTAAGATATTACATATTTTACCAGCAGATCTGAATAAATAAGAAAAAGCAATATTGGCTCTGCATAGAATATTTTTGGACAGTTACATGGAAACTGCTAATATACTTAAGAAGTACTGGGTTTTTTTTTATTTGCATTGTATTTATGTTTAAGGAGAACAGATGTTGCAGTGATGTTAGAATTATGGGATGTTATTGTTTTCTTCTTTTTATAATGCTTTTTTTGAAGTGAAAGTGCTATTTTTACATAGAATTTCGAGCTAACCTGGATTTTCGTAGTAATTTTGTGATATAGTTTTATCAAAGCAGTAACAGATATGGGTAAATACTGAACTAGTGAGTTTGTGTAAGAAGTCTTCAACATAAAGTCAAGTCCTGATGAATGTTGCAATCTTGAATTATTAGCTACTTTCTCCTAAAGAAAAAAGGAAGCATAGCGGTGATCACTGTGTAAAAGCACTATGATCCTCAAATAAAACATTCATTTCAGAGATCTGCACTTAGTTGAGATAAATAATGCCATCACATTGTTAAGAAATGAGTATCAAGTGAATGTATACTACATTTGGGGATGATAGTAGTTTTTCTTTTCTTATGGTGGATTGTAATACTCATCAGATTCATCCTAGAGAAATTATGCCACATCAACAGGATAAATTCGTGGCCAAGACTGAGTCTATCATTCACTGTAAGAGCAAAGTGATTATTTTGGCAAGACTTCTTCTCCGGAAGGCATTTTTTAGGAGATGATTGATAAGATTACTTATGTGCACAGACGTGCTGTCTCAAAGAATAGGAAAGCCATACTGATTGTTTCAATATTATGACAGTCCTATAAAATTGGGTGAAATTACCTTTGTGCTCATCAAAAGAGGTAGAATTCCTTTGTGATTATAGCTGAAAATATCTCAGGTATCTGTAGTATATAAGGAGTGTTTAATTTGTGAAACAAAAAATCTACTTTAATTCAAATGATTTCGAAGACAGCATGCATTTCGAAGACTCTGCGGCCACATTGGGATCAACAGTTCAAAGAATTTCTGGTTTAAGATGAAAATGTATTACCGAATTCCATGCAGTCTCTATCTCTCAAAGTCCCTTTTATCTGCCCCTCCTGTCACTTCATCATGAAACAAAATTGTTCTCCGAAAGGCATGTTGTGTCAGTCTTTCTGTTCTCAGAGCTCTGTTCTCAGTTCTCTGTGATTACAAATTGATTGTTTGATGGTTTGCACTTCGTCTTTCCGAGTATTGACGTGCAGGTGACAGCTAATTACCAGGGCTTCCTTTTCCTTTCTAATTAATAGACGGTTAATTCAGTTACTCTCCCTCAGTCTCCGGGAATTTATGACCTGCACAGCAACTCTCAGACTAGCCAGTAGCTGTGAGGTGTCCTCCACATGATTTCTACTTCGTCTTGAGTTATTGTTCCTTAATGCTTCTTTCATAATTCAGTGTTTTCCTTTCAGACTCTTATGATAAGAAGCCCCTTCCAACAGAATATAATTGAATTTTTAAAAATCAGATAAAAATATAAAACCTTAGAAGTCTCTGAGTCTTTATACTTCTCTATTATCAGATTTCCAGACAATGATATTTTTCCTGGAGGTATATGTGTGTGTGTATATATCTATCCAAATAGACCTGTGTATTTATTTTGTATTTATCTGAATGTATCTGTGTGTGTGTATATATATATATGTATATATACATATATAGATAGATATCCGAATATATCTGTGTATTTATTTTGTGATACAAAGCTGCTGGCTGATCCTTGTATGCACCTCCTTGGTTCATACATTTCTTTAAAAACTTAAAAATTTTTTTTCATTTTTAATTGAAGTATAAATATAATATCTTGTAACCTCATTTTTTCCCCCTTTACATTATCTGCCTGAAAAGCTACTCATCTTCAATCTGTCTTCTTCCTGACCTTGCTGCATTCAACTATATTTTATTTATCTGTTTTTTTTTAAAAAAACACCTGGCCTAGTTTCCAAATGTTGAGGACTACAAAGCAATCAGTTCTCAGGATTGTTCTGATTTTCGTTAATGTAACAACTAGTTGCTTTTCCTGTGTTGCTTGTGCAAAGGCAGTATGTTCTTCGTGACTTAAACAACAATCTATTTTGTATTTCTTTTTTTTCCCCCCTTGAAATTTCGATCTATTCAATCAGGTTTCTAATATTGTTGAAGTAGACCTTCATTATAATTATCATTATTATCATACCTATGGCCCA